TTCATGACCAGTTTTAGATAAACTACATGATGTATGGAATATAACAATGATAGTAGGACATGATTCCAATAACTCAAAATAAAAACAAACAGATTTCATGACCAGTTTTAGATAAACTATATGATCTATAGACTAAAGACCTGCTGACCTTCTAGCCTGTGTCTATAAGAGGATTCCTACGTAACTCTACAATGCAATGAAGGTATCCAAAGCAAGTCCTTAGATAAAGCATCTTTATTACTTGCATAATCATTGAGATTCCCTTCTAATTTTTTCATATTCAGAGAGACACCCAGGAAATGGTTGCTAGTTCTCAGTTATGAGTTTTGTTCCGCAAGACGAGAGAAGAAAAACTTGGATAAAAGATAATAAAGAATAAGCTGACACGTCTAAATGAAGACTTTTTCTAGTTATATTTTATGTAACTTTTCAGGCAGATGCTTTTCATCTGCCCAAAACATTGCACAAAATAAAGCTAGAAAAAGTTATCATTTAGACGTGTCAATTTATTATCTTTTATCCAAGTTCTCAGCCAATCCCTTTATCTCAACTAGTCCTCATTATTATCTGACTGCTTGATTATAATTACCATAAAAGCTATGGGACGGAAGGTGTTTACACGTTATTAGTGGTATGGGAGAGTATTCCCAGAAACAAGATGAAATCGGAAAATTTCACAAAATATCCAATATTTTATACTGGATTGATTTATTACAGACCTACACACCATATACCACCGGATTCAGTATAAAAAATGTTTATCAAAGTGGGTACAGAAACAGTAAACCTATTGTAAGAAAGGGATGAAGTACCATGAAAAATATCACTTTAGGAAGGAGATCTAATTGAAACCTAAGCTATATATCACCAGTATCAACTTTCTGTAGTTCTAAACCTAATGGGAATTAAGGCTTCTAATGAGCTACATTATTACAAGTTGAAACCTAAGCTATATATCACCAGTATCAACTTTCTGTAGTTCTAAACCTAATGGGAATTAAGGCTTCTAATGAGCTACATTATTACAAGTTGAAACCTAAGCTATATATCACCAGTATCAACTTTCTGTAGTTCTAAACCTAATGGGAATTAAGGCTTCTAATGAGCTACATTATTACAAGTTGAAACCTAAGCAAAACATTACCAACCTGTATCGTCAGTCTCTACTTTCTCTACTTCTGAACAAGTTGACAGATGGCAATAGCCTCTTCCAGAAGAATAGTGCCTAGTACAAAGACATAGAAAAGATGTCAGCTAAGATGTAAACCTTAAGTAAAAGTAGTTTTCAGAACTTCAAATTGAGCTGACCGAGTTTTGAAAGAATTAACGCACTATTTAGAAAAATACTGTTCATTTAAGGCATTATTGGAAATGATTTCAATATTGTTGTTACTTTTAACAATGAGGGTACTGAACTGTAGACTGGATTCAGTTTCATTTGAATATTGTAACTCTGTTAACAATGAGGGTACTGAACTGAAGACTGGATTCAGTTTCATTTGAATATTGTAACTCTGTTAACAAGGAGGGTACTGAGCTGAAGACTGGATTCAGTTTCATTTGAATATTGTAACTCTGTTAACAAGGAGGGTCATGAACTGAAGACTGGATTCAGTTTCATTTGAATATTGTAACTCTGTTAACAAGGAGGGTCATGAACTGAAGACTGGATTCAGTTTCATTTGAATATTGTAACTCTGTTAACAAGGAGG